ACAGTCCCAGGAGTGAACAGGCCCCTTCATCATGGGTAGACAAGATCTTAGTGCCAGGAGGATGCTTTGAGTCTCCGACTCAACTGAGAACTGCATCATCATAGCATGCCTTTCAAGGACTGGTCCACAGTCCCAGGAGTGAATAGGCCCCTTCATCATGGGTAGGCAAGATCCTAGTGTCAGGAGGATGCTTTGAGTCTCCGACTCATCATAGCATGCCTTCGAGGGTCCCCATGGCTGAAATTGTAGTTGCTTTTTATGGGAAAGGAGGAAGATGCCAGAATACTCTCCTGCATCACCGTCAAGACAAAGCATCTGCTATAAGAGGAGCATTTCTTGTGACAGTTGCGATTTTGAAGCACAATTTCATCCTATTCTATTTCTTCCATTCATTTTTTTTTAAAAAAAGAGAAGAATCTACAATGAAATCTATACCCATTTTCCTGTGCAATTTTGTCTGAAAGAACTTTGGCAGACATTTTATGTGCAGTTTTCCCTAAGAAGGAAAGGAAGGGAGAAGGGAAAGAAGAAACTAAAGTTCTCCCTAAAGTATGTCTTTTTGCAAGCAGTTTTTGATAGAAGAAAACGACATTGCAAAATGGGGAGAAGTGCAGAAAGCAAAGGATAATTGTATTCTAGTTTATGTGTCAGTTTAGAAAGATGAGTCTGAGATCTGTTTATATGAAAAGGTGGCCCAGCCAATGCCTCCCAAAAATGCCATCTTTGTGTTCAGTTTTTCTTTTTGACCAGTTGGAGTTTCCTTTACTTTGTTTTCCATTTGGCCTCCTCTGTCAGACACAGAACTAATGAATGTATCCTGCCACTTTCTGTATCTCTTACACCAGAGCAAAGGACTGTGGGATAATAATTGATTTTGGTATAATCAGTGCAATGCAAATAGAAGACTGGTGTAACTGTCGCTGCTGGTTTAAGTTATCAAGTATTTAAAAGAGAGAGAAAATGGGCAACCCTCTGAGGCTCTGCATTTGCACACGGTGCATTTGCACTTTTCCTTTTTTAAAAACACGCCCTCACTGCCAAAGACAAATTCTTTCATATCCCCCAAACTGTTTTGTCTCTTCCTCTCATGATGTTGCATCTGGAATCTTTCCAGGGCACATGCTGCACAGAGGAATACTAGCTAGCTCAGGTTGTCAGTTGGAAACCAGGAACTTAATTCATCTCAAAACGGGCCATGGGGTTTTTGACAAAAGCTAGTAGTTTAAACTCAACTGAGTTTGTCTTTCTGATTGGCTGGTCTCATCGTTTCCGTATAAACTACCTATTTCCCTTTTCTTCTAGAAACAGCTGGACCTACGGTAGGGCCACTTAAGGATTTTGGTCTTTGCAAATGCATCGTTTTGACTAATCTGCAGATTGCAGTGTGTAGGTATCTGAACCTACTTCACGTCAGTATCATTCTGATACACACTCCTTCATTCAAGAAAAATAGTTAAGGAAACACTAAAATACACGATATTCAAAGAAATAAAAGAAATATATTGTGTTGCATATTTTGAGAGGAAGTTTGAAATATATATTTATTTCCTTCTAAATGCAACATTTGTGCAGCTTTTAAGAAAGAAGCTTCTCAGAGTGTTGGAGAAATGGGACCGGGACAATCTCCACCATTGGGCTGTCCAAGGTCATCATCTAAAACAGCAGATGCTAGGATGTAGCAGGGGAGGATGCAGAGAGAGAGTTGAAAGGTGCTGCTGCTTTCTTTGCATCCACTAAGCTAGTCTGCTGTTTTCAGGTGTAAAGGAGTTTGTTGCTAGACTAGCAATCTTAAAGAAGGATTATTTGGCAGTCCAACTAGCTTTTCATGATCATAGAGTAGGCAGGTGGGGAGGGATTATGGACCATTGGAGGAGTCCTCCAAGCACCATCTCTTTGCATTTACCAACATGAATTTGACCCAACTCCAGGAGGCAGTGGAAGACAGGAGCGCCTGGCGTGCTCTGGTCCTTGGGGTCATGAAGAGTCAGACACGACTAAATGACTAAATAACAAAAATCCCGAATATCAGATATCGGGAAGAGAAGACAGGAGGGCCTGGCATGCTCTGGTCCATGCGGTCACAAAGAGTCGGACATGACTAAATGACTAAACAACAAAAATCCCGAATATCAGATGTAACTAAAGGCTAGTCTGTCCTTTCCTCTCTCTGACCTGTGCTTCCTCCCACCTATCCTATGTTTTCTGATATTCTGAGGGGCTATTCTCACCCCTTGCACTTTGACTTCCTTTCTTCTTTCAATAAGGACCAGACCTCCTGCATCGACAATATCCATCTTTACCCTGACACAGACCTTCTTTTAAGTTAAAAATAGGATTTAATCTTTTGTAAATTAAATTTAATTTTCTCAATAAATCTCGTTGTTTTGAATGTTAACTACACCACATATATTTTCTATGGGTCTGCACTGGGACTAACCACCCAGATGCTTGTGTTGATCTAACTCTGCTAAAAACAGATACAGAAGCTCAGTGATTCAGGTGTCTGGCTGTGGTTGGGAGTTTGATTCTCCACTGTGCTTCCTTGACAGGGGTTGGACGCAGTGATCCGTAGGGTCTTTTCTGCAGTTCTGCAATGTTGTTGTTGTTGATGAAGATGACGCTGTTTTTTAATTCTTCACCTCAGTTGGCCAAGTGTTTTTGGCCAGGCCTGGATAAAATGGGACAGACTTCTTAGAATAAAAACACGTATTTTAAGTGCAATGGACTTCAAATTTACTGATTCTGCCAAGTCTACATCTAAGAATATAAATCTGCCATATGCATCCCAGTTTGCAGAATATAAGCTCAGGACATTTCTTTAAAAGGGCAGGGACACCCTAGTTTGATCACCAGGGCTGAAGGTTTGCCATAGGTTTGCCTGCCAAAATATGCTGATGTGAAAACAAGGGAGTCTTTTCCTGCCTCTGTCTTAGGTTTTCAAATACTGTGATACATAATGTGGCACTAAAGGGAAGTAATAACCCACAATCAATACCTATATGGAATTTCTTGTCATTTCCCATCCTAGGTATCTTGCCTTTTAATTTTTATGTATGACATGCATATGCTCCCTTTCTGCCAAAGCACTGGAGGCAGTTAATGATGGCTTGCAATTTATTCGCTGCACAGCCCTATATGTATTTATTGCCCGTTCTTTGCTCGCTTTTCAGCAGGCAGTAAAAACTTATTTGTTTTGCTGAGCACTTAACGATTGGTCATGAGGAACTTATGGCTGTGAGAAAAGTTAGCTCTGAAAAAAAGAGAGAGGCTTCTGCAGTCCAATTTTCTGTATCCTGAAAGTTGCCAGCCAGAAGCCTGTGGGAAGCCCATAAGCAGGACCTGAGTACAGTAATACATTCCTGCTCATGTTCTCTGGCACATGGCTTTCAGAGGCCCACTGCCTGGGGTGCTGAAGAGAATATATAGCTTTTGAGAGCAGAAGCCATCAACAGTCTTGTCTTCCATAAAATTATCTCGTTCTCTTTTAAAAGTGGTCCAGCCTTCACAGGGTACTGAGGGACATCTTGGCCCGTGAAGTATAGATGGGCCCCACTCCGTTTTACTGTTAACTATTATTGGATTTTGTTCTGATGAGCTTTAAACTCCTGCGTGCCTACTGTTCTATGTAAAACAGCTTTCCCAAATATGGTACCCTCCTGATGTTTATTCATCTATTTTGTTACTTTGTTTCTATCCCTTTATTTAATTAAGTAAAGAAAAAATGAATTTGTCTCCTCCCAGCATTCCCAGTTGTTGGTCACACTGGGTGGGTATCGTGAGCCTTGTAGACCAAAATATCTGGGAGAAATATCTGTTGTAAAGATTATGTCTTAGTTGTGGTCTTTGGTATTGTTGTGTTTGTGCCACATGTTATGATATTGCAATTTTAGCAGAAGCTTTAGTAACAACTCAGAAAAATGAAGCCTGTGGGCCACTCTCACCTCCCCAGGACCCTGATGTGACTTCTCAAATTGTTGACAGAAACCCACTGGTTGGGGGAGAGGGGGAATGCTCCAAGCAGGGGTGAATCAAGGGACAGCTGGTGTTCGCCTTGCCAACGAAAGAGGCCTGGCTGTTTTGCCGTCATTTAGGTGAGATGGCCGGACTTGGATGAAATTTCACAAGAGAAAGAACCCAGTGGGTGTGGACCCCAGTGGTGGGAAGGAAGATCAGCCACATATGCACTGTATTCAGTTTTGTTGTTGTTGTCTAGTCATTTAGTCATGTCTGACTCTTCGTGACCCCATGGACCAGAGCACGCCAGGCCCTCCTGTCTTCCACTGCCTCCCGTAGTTGTGTCAAATTCATGTTGGTTGCTTCGCAGACACTGTCCAGCCATCTCATCCTTGGTCGTCCCCTTCTCCTCTTGCCGTCACACCTTCCTAACATCAAGGTTTTTTTCCAAGGACTCTTTTCTTCTCATGAGATGGCCAAAGTACTGGAGCCTCAGCTTCAGGATCTGTCCTTCGAGCTTAAACTAAAAGTGCATTCCCAACTTCTTCTTCCATGACCAGGGAGGCTGCAGCCCTCCACATGTTGGTGAACTACTCTCAATACTTCGGCCTATTAACCCAGTGGGCTGATGGAAATTGGAGGCCAACCACTTTTAGAAAGCCACAGCTCCTCCAGCCTTTATCTGTTGGATGTTTAATACATCACTTGCTATTGTGTATTTGACATAGCTAAGCTTCCAAGTTGGTACTCTCTTTTGCTCCATCATTTTTTCTAGTGATGTGTATACTACCTTAATATCCCTTCTGCCTCTCCAGGAATCTGAATCTTGAGATGACTTATTCGCTCTGCCTAACAGTAGGGCTATCCTTGTGTGTGTAAGAGTGTGGTTGGGTTAACCTTTTAGATACCCATGGCATATATTTCCTTTTTATGGGTCTTCTGTCTACATGGACCCCCAGATCTGTAAATGATAGAGCCCTGAAATTGTGAGTTTCTCTTTTGAAATTATACCTCCCTTTGATGACTGTCTATGGCTTCTATTTCAGCTCCCAGCTTTGATTATGGGGACATGCCCTCCCCACTGGGCGAGTCGGAGAGCACCATCACTGTTCTGCTGAGGCCAGCACAGGGCAGAGGTGCCCCAATCAGGTACGGGAAATCCCATCTACTCAAGCAATATATGCACCTTTTTTTTGATGCCATTGTAAATTGAATAAATGTCATTTTCCCTTCCTTTAAAAAAAGTATTAATTGCACTCACTTATTTTCTCAAGAAAAATAGTCACACCTAGACACACCGATACACATAATGTGTGCCTTGCAGGGCACACTATCCTGATATGCCAATACTTATGTGTTTTGCTACGGCCATCTACTCAAGCAATATATGCACCTTTTAAAATTTTTGATGCCATTGTAAATTGAATTAATGTCATTTTCCCTTCCTTTAAAAAGGTATTAATTGCACTCACTTATTTTCCCAATAAAAGTAATCACACCTAGACACACAGATACACATAATGTTTGCCTTGCAGGGGACACCATTCTGATATCATGCTAATAATTATGTGTTTTGCTATGCAGATATTGTTGATGGGTAGCTTGGACCAAGACATTTTATTGTCTGAGGTGAAGGACAAAATGGCACCCCAACAGTGAAAGCATGCTCCACCACAATTGGACATAGCAGCCTAGCTTAGGGAATGCAGGGGTGGCTCTGTAGTGTGCATAGATCTCTCTTCCAACACCACACTGCTTCATAGAGTGGCCACACGTCCTTTTAAAAAGGCTTTTGAAGAACTGCCCAGTACAAGTTTGATTTAAAGATCAAACACCATAAGGAAGAAGATCAGGGACCTGGGAGTTCCCCGTCACATAATAAGGTACCTAGTCATAGTCCTCCCTACTCATATGAGATACAATGTGTTTGTGTTTTCTGTGCCATCAAGTTGGAACTGACTTATAGAGACTTTAATAAGGCTTTCAAGGTTAGTGAGATATTTAAGGACTGTTTTTACCAGTTCCACTCCCTCAGTCAGCTTCCATGGTCAAGTGGGGATTCAAATCTTATTCTCCAGAGTCCTAGTCCATCACTCTGTCCACTACACTACAATGGGAATCCACTGAGATACACTGTAATTCTATTTAAATCAGGTTAGTGAGATATTTAAGGACTGTTTTTACCAGTTCCTCTCCCCCAGTCAGCTTCCATGGCGAAGTGGGGATTCAAACCTTATTTTCCAGAGTCCTACTCCATCACTCTGTCCACTATAGTACAATGGGAATCCACTGACATACACTGTAATTCTATTTAAATTATAAAATATTTTCTAATTTTGTATCTCTCTATATAAGTATTTGCGATATTTAAGGACTGTTTTTACCAGTTCCTCTCCCCCAGTCAGCTTCCATGGCGAAGTGGGGATTCAAACCTTATTTTCCAGAGTCCTACTCCATCACTCTGTCCACTATAGTACAATGGGAATCCACTGACATACACTGTAATTCTATTTAAATTATAAAATATTTTCTAATTTTGTATCTCTCTATATAAGTATTTGCATTTTAATGCAAATAGGCACCCTCTTTTGCTTCCTTCTTTTTTTCTAGTGATGTGTATGCTACCTTAATGTTCCTTCTGCTACTCAGGCATCTGCAACTTGAGATAACTTACTCACTATGCCTAATGGTAGGGCTGTCCTGGTGTGTGTAAGTGTGTGCCTAGGTTAATACTTTAGATGCCCTATGCCGTGCCTCTGATACATATTTCCAATTCATGAATCTTCTCTGTCATGTCTAGATGGACCCGAAACCTGTAAATTTCAGAGCCCTGCAATTGTCCACAGTTTCCAAGCAAGCCGTTCTACATGCTGATCTCTTTGTCCCAGACTCAGCCTCAGTTCTGGGTTTACCTGAGTCCTCTTGATTAGCTACCCTCTTTCAAAAGACTGGTTTAACAGGGGGAGGGGGGGAGAGTTTGATTAGAGTTATGTCAATACATTCAAATAAACTAACAACAAATATTTTCTGTGTAAACAAAATTATAAAAAAATGTGAACTACAATAACTGAAAAAAAAGGAACAACAAAAATGCAGGCTAATAAACTCATCTGAAGATCAAAGCAATTGGTATCATCATTAGCGTGCACCTCCAAGAAAAGTAGTATGTGGCACTGTTTGGCCTAAATCCTCTCTGCTGTAAACTTGGATATGTTAACTTGCCCAGGTCATGCCATACAGGTAGTTTTGGATGGAGGCTGACAACTTTGTATCTCAACTATGGGCAGTTTTTTCTTGTTTGTACATGAAAATAGCAGGCTGACACTGAGTTTGACTTCAGTACAACTTGAACACATGAATTTGGCTACAAATCTGAATTGCACTGTTTGGCGAGTATTTTTGTTGCGAGCCACCCACAGCCAGAACATGAAAGACACAGAGGCTCATGTGGTTGCTTGCTCACTTCATTCTCACCTCTGTAATTAGAATCTTTATTTACCAGTCTTGCTAAGAGAGACCGCCCACCGGCGTCCACACCTCCTCACCTGAGGTAACTTTCTCATTGGGACAGAGAAGATTTTGTTGCAATGCCATATTATTATTGTTTAAAAAAGGAACAGCAGCTTTAACAAGGCCTGTGTCTGCCTTAAAGTGTAAAGTCTGCTTGGGAATCTTGTCAGATGTTTAAACAGTTCCCTCTGACATGCTGTTATTATCCTTTGTGAGATGGGCTGAGAGACAGGAGATGTTCCTGAGCTGGCATCTTTAATTACAAGCTTCTCACATCCAGGCTTTCTCTGTGTTTGTCCATGGTTTGCACCCTCAGTGCCAGAGAGGGAGGCCCTGCTTTTGTAGATATCCTGGGGGATGCTGTCTGGATGAGTAATTCAAGTCTCTGCACCCATTCTGCACCTGTCTGACAAGAGTCTTGCTTCCTTGAGTTTTGGCAGCAAGAGAGTACAATCAAAGCTGAGCACCTACCTTTGGCAGTTGTCTCTCTGTAACACTGCTTAGCCAAACTCTGTCTCTCATGGCCCATATTTGGTACCTTCCTATGGGAGAAAAGGGTGGCAACGCCTCTGTTTCACCAAGTCATTGGAACCCACTAAATCTTTCATAAATGAGGGGGACAAATTGTAGTCAGTATGTCTCCTGCCTAGTTACGTAACTTACTGGCTCAGGTCAAGACAGACCTCAGGAAGCCATAAGCTTTGTGACTTTATTGAACTTTCTGCCATGTTAGCATCGCTGGCTATAAGTAATAGCTATTCTTGGATGCTCTCCACAATAGCACCCTTGCATTCCAAACACAATTCTGGTTTGCTCGTAGGGCTTAGGAAAAAAAAGGTATTTTGTAATTTGCCCTAGCATTTGCAACTGGAGTGTTTCTGTGTTTGAGGAGGAGCAAAATTATTTTTTGGGTTCACAGAGACAGGAACTGCCTTGCTTGGTGGCAGCAGAATTGATTCTTTTTCAGTTTTTCTACTGCATTTTAGTAGAATTGTTGAGGCCAGTGACTGCTATCCAGAAAATCGCATACACGTCATTTTCCTGGTGTATTCCTTAAGAAGAGTGCCATAGCCATTCTTCCTCATAAAGTGTGCTAGAATAATGCTATGTTCAAGACATTTTTGAAACAAGCATGCACTTTTTCTACATTTCCACTTGGAAGTCTTAAGTTAGTTTGTCAGGATAAAATTAGTTTAGTTGGTATTTAAAGCAAACTAAATATTTTATGTTATGCAAAACAGAACATTTCAACTTCATTGAATGGAGTTTTCCAAATCAAAATGTGTGTATTTGTGGGTGGTGGTGGCTAAGAATACAAATATATGCAATAAGTGAAAACAGTTCTTGAAATGTGTTCAAACTATATATGTTTTCAACATACACAGAATACATAAATACACTTATATAAAATAAGCACAAATTCATGCAGATATTTTAAAAATGTCAAAAGGGTCTTCTCTGTGGCTGCTCCCAATATGTGGAATGCTCCTTGAAATGTGTTCAAACTATATATGTTTTCAAAATACACAGAATACATACATAAACTTAAAATAAGTACAAATTCATGCAGATATTTAAAAAAATGTCAAGAGGGTCTTCTCTGTGGCTGCTCCCAGGTTGTGGAATGCTTTCCCTTAAGAAGTTAGATGGACAATCCTTTAAATTATGTTTTGTGTTTCATTGTATTTTCAACTCTGTAATTTATTGTGACTTCAGCCTGACTTGTTTTAATTATTGTGAGCCACTTGGGATCCCCTCAGTGGGAAGAATATGGCCAGAAGTTAGATGGACAATCCTTTAAATTATCATTTTATGTTTCATTGTATTTTCAGCTCTGTAATTTATTATGACTTCAGACTGGTTTTAATTATTGTGATCCCCTCATTGGGGATCGATCGATCGATCAATCAATCAATCAATCAATCAATCAAATACGTTTGCACCAAATTAAATTCAAAATTGAAAAGGTCTTAATTTTTCTTCTTCTTTTCTGAATGTAAAATTGGAAACAGATAAATGAAGAGAAACCAAAATGGAAAGATTGGTTCCCCTAGAGAAGTAATAGAAGGATGATCGCATGCTTTCCATCTGTAATGCTGTCATCCAGCTCCATGCAGCTAGAAAATAAGTTCTTCATTATTCTGCAAAGAACTGGGCAGCATGGGTGCACATGGTCTTCTTTTTGTTCTGGAGCCTCAGGGCTTTGTTGGCCTTCTCTGGTTTCATTTATTATCTTTCTCTTACTCTCTCTATCCTACTTTCCTCATGGTGTCCCCAGCACATACCAAGTCGTTGTGGAAGAGGACAGGCCCAAGAAAATCAAGCGAGAGGCAGGTGGTCAGGAGTGCTTCCCAGTGCCGCTCACCTTTGACGACGCAATGTCCCGCGGGTCTGTTCACTACTTTGGAGCTGAGCTTCCACCCAGCAGCCTCACGGAAGCCAAGCCTTTCACTGTAGGAGACAATCAAACATACAGTGGCTACTGGAATCCACCTCTGGAGCCCAAGAAGGCTTATCTCATCTATTTCCAGGCTATGAGCAACCTCAAAGGGGTGAGTAGCAATGTGCAGGTGTAATCTGAGATGTGCTGCAATCTTGTCTCAAGAAGGATTAATGTCCTGTCATTGTGAATGTGCATATTACAGTGGTGCCTCGCTTAACGATTGCCCTGCTCTGTGATGAAATCGCTTGACGATTAGGTTTTTGCGATCGCTTTTGTGATCACAAAACAATGTTTTAAATGGGTTTTTTTTCATTTAATGATGATCAGTTCCCTGCTTCAGGAACCGATTTTCACTTTACAACGATCAAAAACAGCTGATTGTCGGGTTTCAAAATGGCTGCCGGCTGCTTAAAATGGCTCCCCGCTGTGTTTTTGGATGGATTCCTCGCTTTACAGGCAGTGAAAATGGCTGCCCCTATGGAGGATCTTCACTGGACGGTGAGTTTTCAGCCCTATGGAACCCCATTAAGGGGTTTTCAATGCGTTTCAATTGGCTTTTTAATTTCACTTTATGACGTTTTCGCTCTACAGCGATTTCACTGGAATGAATTAACGTCATTAAGCGAGGCACCACTGTATATGGTGTTCTTGCATGAATGCTGGAGTGGTCTCCAATCTAGGGGACAAGGCTGAAGTCAACAACTGGTTAGCTTCAGCACTATTGCAGCAACAAGTGCTGCCACACTGTCCACTGCAGGAGGATTTAACAACTTTTGGGAAAGGAGCTGTTGTTGGAGTCCATATTATGCATGCAGTGACCCTGTGTCTAATCCCTTCCCCACAATCTTCAGTTTAAAAGGAGTAAGTAAGCAGATAATGGGAAAGATTTCAGCCTATAATTCAGTGTTCTGCATCCAGGAGAGCTTGGAAATGTTATTATTTTGGACTGAAGGAACCAGATTGCCAACCACAAGGCCACATTTCCAAGCTCTGGCTGCCAGACAACACAGAGAATTTACCCTCGAGGGACAAACATTCTGACCAGATATTTCTTATGTTCCTAATTCAAAAGCCCCATCTGCACAGCACTGATATTTGTAGGCTTCTGTATGATGATCCATAAGTTTGAAAAAATTATTCAGGTTATGGATTGAACATACATAAGCATATACGCCATCATGTGTAAGCTGGTACATGCAAACACGTGCCCTCATCAACACACACACAAATGCACACAGAGCGCATTCTATCTTAATGGAAGCACTGAGTATGTGCTCTAGTACTGTAGCCCTACAGAGTGCTTGGCCGCCCTTAAATTTGCTCTTTTAGCACTTTGAGGAGGCACTCTAAGATGCTACCGGTCTTTCACAAACTAGAGAAGAAACAATGAATATATTGTGGGGCAGGCATCTGATACATCTTTGACCAACTGATTCCACTCCCCGCCCTCCATTCTTGTCAGGTGAAATGTACCAGTAAAAGGTAATTAGTGATCATTGCCATTGGAAGAAACTAGTTACAGGTATCAACATTACTTTCATGAGTTGGCCTTTTAAGCTAAATTTATGCAGTTAAAAAAGCCCAATAGACTTTTAGAACTTACTGTGTCTTCCACAACCAGGAAGTCAACCACTCCTGCTGTTATGGGACCAGCCAGCAGGGACCCAGGCCCTTTGGAAGATGGTAGGAGTTGTGGTCTCACTGCCCATTAAGCTTGATAGGGGGCACCTTCTGAAGAACTATGACTCTCAGGAAGCCCCACAGCAGCTTGATGCTTGCTTGCTTGCTTCTTTCTTTCTTTCCTTCCTTAATAACAACATGATGCAAGTGTTAGGGAAGCCCATGAAGCTTCAGAGGTTGGCCATTCTCTAGGTGCATGAAATGTAGGGATCTGCAAGGATGTGTTTTTGGAGAATTCTGGGTGTTGAAGTCCAAAAAACAAAGATTTGCCTGCCTACTGCTATACTCTTAATCTTCTTTTCTCCTGGCTAATCATAGCCAGCTATTCCAATCGCTTATAGGCTTTGGCTTTGAGATATCCCATTATCCTGGTGCCTCTTCTTCACATGGGCAAAGGAAACTCTTTATTACTGAGCTACAGCCTCTTGCCTTGATCCAAGAGGGGTAATTTGTGGCCCCCATGAAGTTGTTGGACTGCAATTCTAAGTATTCCTTATCATCAGCTCTCTGGATAAGCCTGACAGGACTTTCAATCCAGCTATATGTGGAGGGCAACATTTAGCTCATTCATGCATTCACATGCCAGTGATGATCCTGCTTGATGATCAGAAACATCCTTGCTTTTTCTGCCCCTGGAGGGGGGAAAAGCAATCTCATGGGGTTTCTTAGAGCAGGACTGGAGGTGGAAAAGGCTAGGCAGCTGGCAAAGAACATCTCAGCGCACAATGCTCCATTTGGCACCCTTCCCTGCAGTGGCCTCTTCACATCTCTCAACACAAGGAGATGTCCTCTGAGAACCCATAGCTTTTCCTGTCCCCTCGAGCTCCCCTCACAGGGTATATTGTCCTGTTATGACTGATAATAAAATTTATCCTTTCCTTGGTAACTCAGCTTTCACAGAGGAAATAAATGTGACCTGACTAATCCAAGAATCTGTTACATGCCTCGGCAAAGGCTTTTTGAGATAACTGCCGGAATCATAGGGGTTCCCTCAAGAGAATTATCTATCCCTTGAACTGGTGCATTCCAGCAGTTCTTCTCTGACCCAACTGAATGAAGTTGGTAGTATCGAGTTAGGATTTGAGCAGCAGACGCCAGTAGAGCTGTATGGAAGTTTTCCCCACAAATACATTTCTGTATCTTATCAGACAGCTGGCAAAAATAGAAGGTGTGGCTTTGAATGGTAGTTCTCTCTCTCTCTCTCTCTTTGAGAGATATGCTAACTTTCCTTCAGGAAGCTCCAGGTAGTATACACAGCTCTCTCAGTTTGTCTTCATAACAATCTTAAGAGGTAGCTCTGGTGGGTGGGTGGAAGCATGTTGGTCGCTTCGATGACCCTGTCCAGCCATCTCATCCTCTGTTGTCCCCTTCTCCTCTTGCCTTCATACTTTCCCAACATCAGAGTCTTTCCCAGGGAGATTTCTCTTCCCATGAGATGCCTAAAGTCTTGGAGCCTCAGCTTCAGGATCTGTCCTTACAGAGGGGTGTAGATACACTCTGGTGGGTGGGTGGAAGCATGTTGGTCGCTTCGATGACCCTGTCCAGCCATCTCATCCTCTGTTGTCCCCTTCTCCTCTTGCCTTCATACTTTCCCAACATCAGAGTCTTTCCCAGGGAGATTTCTCTTCCCATGAGATGCCTAAAGTCTTGGAGCCTCAGCTTCAGGATCTGCCCTTACAGAGGGGTGTAGATACCCCTAATCAGTCTGGTACCACTTTACACTTTACAGTCTGGTGTTATGGCTGCATCCTAAATAATTCTAAAATTTGGTTATAGGGAGGTGCTTAATATTCTGTTCATGAGAGTGCGCAATAGGTCACTATCACAGAATTCTTAACACCTTACCAAACTGCCAGTCCCAGAATTCTATAGGACAGAGTGGTATCAAACGGATATAACTGTCTGCGGCAGATAACAAGCTTTGTCTAATCCAGCAAGTCTCTTCTTATGACTTGGTTTTGGCTCTCATGCGCCCAACTCAGTGACAAATGACAGAGGCAATTGATTTCACAGTCCACCTGCAGGGAGAATGGAACAGCTGCAAGGAGTTGCCTTAGATTGATTTTCTCTCCGACCGAAATTCTTCCCAGCGTCCTCCTTATGGATGCAGTCTGGTTCTTATGAACTTCAGCACCAGAATATTCCAAATGGCACCATCATAACAGATAGACATTAAGGAAAATTATGCTCATTTGTTTCATTTTTCATCTGCCACAGTTGTGTTATTAGCATGTCATTTGGCTGGCATACGAGCCATACAGGGAGAAGCCTTCAGGGACTCCTTTGGCGGATGAGATTGCCCAGAAGGCTGGGAAGAAGATAGTGACAAATGGTTCCTCTGCTTGGTGGGAGGGACTTCCCAAAACTCCAGATGTATGGGACTAAGGCACTGCTACGCTTGTAGGATTTGAAGGGCTTGGCGGAGAGCTCTGTCAACCTGGCGGGGGGGGGGGAATGTTCTCCACCTTTATCCGTGAGAATTTAGTGCCAAGCATGTTCATTTGCAAATGTGTCTATAACGACAAATGATCGAATTACAATTTAATGGCCTGCTTTTATACTAATTTACACAGAAAGCAGTGTGTGTCATTAGAGATGGGAGAATCTATCAATTTTCTCTTCCTGCCACATTCACATGTTGTAAACCTCACATTTCTCTTGTCCTGAATATAAAGACCTTGTGGCATTTGGATACATTCTTTAAAAAATGAAGTGAAACATAATTCTTCCTTTGCACTGGCCAAATTCAATAGATGTGTCTTCCTTCCTTCCTTTGTTCCACCGATCCTCTTTCTTTCTTTCCTTCTTTCCTTCTTTCCTTCCTTCCTTCCTTCCTTCCTTCCTTCCTTCCTTCCTTCCTTCCTTCCTTCCTTCCTTCCTTCCTTCCTTCCTTCCTTCCTTCCTTCCTTCCTTCCTTCCTTCCTTCCTTCCTTCCTTCCTTCCTTCCTTCCTTCCTTCCTTCCTTCCTTCCTTCCTTCCTTCCTTCCTTCCTTCCTTCCTTCCTTCCTTCCTTCCTTCCTTCCTTCCTTCCTTCCTTCCTTCCTTCCTTCCTTCCTTCCTTCCTTCCTTCCTTCCTTCCTTCCTTCCTTCCTTCCTTCCTTCCTTCCTTCCTTCCTTCCTTCCTTCCTTCCTTCCTTCCTTCCTTCCTTCCTTCCTTCCTTCCTTCCTTCCTTCCTTCCTTCCTTCCTTCCTTCCTTCCTTCCTTCCTTCCTTCCTTCCTTCCTTCCTTCCTTCCTTCCTTCCTTCCTTCCTTCCTTCCTTCCTTCCTTCCTTCCTTCCTTCCTTCCTTCCTTCCTTCCTTCCTTCCTTCCTTCCTTCCTTCCTTCCTTCCTTCCTTCCTTCCTTCCTTCCTTCCTTCCTTCCTTCCTTCCTTCCTTCCTTTTGTTCCTCGTTCAATATTCTTCTTCTTTCACCCTCTGTGTGAAGGAG